TAACTTTAGAGGGCTTGCGACTCCTAACCAGCCAGATGCAAGTGAGACACTGGGACTCAACACGGGACTCCCACTTTGCGTATGGACCCTATTTTAGTGGTACAATTTCGCGGAATCATTCCCCTCTAGCAAGGTGAACTCCCGTGGTCCCCATGATCGAAAACTACTGCCTACTCCCCGACCTAAAGCGCTCAGATAAGCTGATCATGGCTGATCTCTTAAACAGACATGTCTCTCTCCATGTATTCCGAATTCATAGCTTCTGAAAACCGTGGACTACAGTATCGTGCGATGACTTGCAAGGTCCGGAAAGCCTTTTAGGGTGGGAACAGAAAGCCAGTAACTGATTTCGTTTGGGCTAGAAAGGCTTTCCATTGGGTCAAAACCAAGGGAGACTGCGGTCGCCTACCGTAAAAAGTACATTGTATCTTGCCAAATGGCCCAGAACTATCGGTATCTTTGTTGCGCCTTATCTTCAGTGGCTTCAATCATAACACCTGACCCTTTTAACTAGCAATAAGCCCCATCACTAAGCTTTATATTTGATACAAGGCCATCTTTTACCGAGCTTTCGCGAGTTCACCGAGCGGATTTGTAGTAGTTCAAATGAGGCAAATCCTGCCCGTCTACAGATCGGAACCCATGAAGCCTCCCAGCAGTCCAGAAGGGTAGCTCTGGAAGTGATACTTGCCACTCTGAGCGCTTTAAGCAGGGAGGCAAGTCGAGTCTTTTCATTGAAGTAGTAGAGACTTTGCATTGAAGATGGTGGAGGTCAATTCGTGGCCTCTAGTGAATCTCTTCCTATCTCCCCGAGATTTTTCTGAGATTTCTAAGTGCTATTTCCAAGAATTCTATGATTTTCTAGCTATTTATAAGCTTTTCTAAGATTGTCCATGATTTTTTGAAAGATTTTTCATGAGCTATTTCTGGGATTGAAAGCTTTGGGCTTAGGTAACTTACGCGCCGTGTTCATAATTCCCTTCGACAAAACTATATCATTCTTTACAACTATTTATTACAGATGAATTCATTGAATCCATCCAATCGATGAACATTGTATATACAATAAATTATTTACATGACAAGTTTGACATGCGCAGCTGATTGATACCGGTTGGAGAATGTACAAGTGAACACGGCGGGGTTCGTGTTCATCACCCGTTTAGGCAAACCGTCGTTTGACAGCTTCTCCTTCTTCACTCAACGTCTCAATGGTTTCATCCTTGAGAACTCCAGCCTTAAAAAAATCTCTATTAAAAATGGTGTTGCAATCAGAGCCAGGGGAACCCACCTTCATGCCGACTGATTGGACGGCATCTCGGATGGCTCTGCCGGCGTTGCTCAACTTATCGCCGATCATTCCCAAACCACCTCGTTCGTGGTATTCTTCTCTCAGTTCTCCTGCCTTCAAAAATAAGAAATTAGTTTTTTGGACGAAGAAGTTCTAGAAAATGCTTACCTCATCGCGCCCTCGCTCAGCGGAGTCCTTGATGGCCCTAGCGCTATCGGTCAACCTTTCCCTGACCATGTCGACATTCTCGTTGTCGACAACGTCTTGCAAGAAATCACCGGCCTAAAAGTTCGCAATTTACCCGTTCTTAGGGATAGAATTATTGAGCTGCTTACCCTCTCTTTTGTGCTTCTAGCGGTGTCCCTGATGCCATTCACGTACTCGTTGTCACTCAGGTCATCCATGAAATCCTCGGCCTGAAGAGCTCTTTACTCAGAGATCTGATGGCACGAAATGCTGGGACATCCTTACCTCATCGCCGGCTTCTTCTGCAGTTCGTTTGATACCCCGTTTTGCATCGTGGACTTTGTCCCTGGCGGTTTGAGTATAGGTGTTGCCAGTCACTTCATCTTTGAACTGCTCCAGCCTTCAAAAATTGAAAAATTAACAGGTTTAGGTTGAATGGAAATTTTCTGATAACCAACCCCTTCTCGGACATTTTCCGCGGTGTTCTTGACCTTGCTTCGAGCGTCGCCCAGCTTTTCCCTGACTTCTTCCACAGTATCACTGTGTATGATTTTGTTAATGAGTTCCTCAGCCTCTTGCTGAGCTCCTCCAGCGGCGCTCTTGAATGTTCTTCCAACATGGTCCAGCTTTTCCTCGGCCATTTCCTTGTAATCGGTATCGGTAACTTGGTCTTTGAGCTCACCGGCCTGCAAAAATCACAGAATACGGTATAGGCTGGAGCTAGAAATTGGAGATTTACTCACCCTATCCTTGGCCTTTCCGGCGGTGTCTCTAACGCCTCTTCGGGCATCGTCCATCTTTTCCTTGGCCATATCGACGTATTCGTTATCACTGAGGTCATCCATGAGCTCTCCAGCCTTCAAAGGTTAGGGGTAAGAATGGCCCGAATTTAAAGAAAGCCGGGTTAAGCTAACCTTATTTCTGGCCTTTCCGGCGGTGTCTCTAACGCCCCTTCGAGCATCGTCCATCTTTTCCTTGGCCATATCAACGTATTCGTTATCACTGAGGTCATCCATGAGCTCTCCAGCCTTCAAAACTCACAAGTGTATGCATATCGATCTAACCCGCCAATCAATCAATCGATCGATCGATGATCCTTCGACAGGAGTGACTTTTCAAGCTAGCTCACCTTATTTCTGGCATTTCTGGCGGTGTTCTTGACACTTTGTCCAGCATTGTTTAGCTTTTCCTTGGCTGTGTCCATGTTTACGTTGTCACGAATGTCATCTCCTGACCTCCGCCGGTCTTGAAAAATATGCAGGTAATTAGAGGGTTTTATCGGCCACGAACACCTGGGTAAAACTAACCTTTAGTCTCTTGGCCATTATCCTGGCGTGTCTTGTACGCCTCTTCGGCATCAATCTATACCCTTTTCTTTGGCAATGTCAGAACGCTCTATTCGTTATCGCTAATGTATCCATAGATTCTCGCAGCCGCAAAAAAACCCATATAGAAGTTGCGTACTTTGCACGCACACTGAGGCTAAATCTAACCCTGTCTTTAGCATTTCTGGCGGTATTCTTGATGCCCTGTCCAGCATTGTTCATCTTTTCCTTAGCCTCATCCATGACTTCTCCAGTCTACAAAAGAGATATTATAGCGTTTACGTAATAACTTCACGAGCGCTTTGGGTTAACTGACCTTGTCTCTGGCGTTTCTGGCGGTGTCTCTGGCGCCTCTTCGGGCATTATCTATCTTTTCCTTGGCCATATCTACGTATTCGTTATCACTAAGGTCATCCATGAGCTCTTCAGCCTGCAACGGTAGAGATTTAAAGCGTCCACATTATAAAAACCCTTAGGTTGAACTAACCCTGTCTTTAGCGCTTCTGGCTGTGTTCTTGATGCCTTGTCCAGCGCTGTTCAATTTTTCTTTGGCTGTGTCCAGGTTCACATTTCTCCTCTGATATCACCACGAGCTCACCAGCCTGCGAAACGAATGGATTAGAAATGATTCGGATGGCATTACCGGAATGAGCTAACCTAACCTTGTTTCTGGCCTTTCCGGCGGTGTCCCTGACGGTTCTTCGGGCATCATCTACCTTTTCCTTGGCCATATCGACGTACTCATTATCACTGAGGTCTTCAGCGAGCTCTTCAGCCTGTAAAGATAACTGGTGTGTATACCCGTATGGCGCAAACTCTGGGTTTAACTTACCCTGTCTTTGGCACTTCTGGCTGTGTTCTTGATGCCTTGCCCAGCACTGTTCAACTTTTCCTTGGCTGTGTCCAGGTTCACATTCTCCCTGATATCATCCACGAGCTCTCCAGCCTGCGAAAATCGATTGATTAGTTGACCGGATGGCATGGACCAGAATAGGCTAACCTTGTTTCTCTGGCCTTTCCGGCGGTGTCCCTGACGGTTCTTCGGACATCATCTACCCTTTCCTTGGCCATATCGACATACTCATTATCACTGAGGTCTTCAGCGAGCTCTTCAGCCTGTAAAGGTACCAGATTGGTTATACCAGATTAGCTACCCATATGGCGCGTAACCCTGGGTGAAACTTACCCTATCTTTAGCACTTCTGGCTGTGTTCTTGATGCCTTGCCCAGCACTTGTTCAACTTTTCCTTGGCTGTGTCCAGGTTCACATTCTCCCTGATATCATCCACGAGCTCTCCAGCCTGCGAAACCGACGGATTAGATGATTCAAGTGGAACGGACTCTGGAATGAGCTGACCAACCTTGTTTCTGGCCTTTCCAGCGGTATCCCTAACGGTTCTTCGGACATCATCTACCTCTTTCCTTGGCCATATCGACCGTACTCATTATCACTGAGGTCTTCAGCGAGCTCTTCAGCCTGTAAAGGTACCAGATTGGTTATACCAGATTAGTTACTCATATGGCGGTAACCCTGAATTGAACTTACTCTATCTTTAGCACTTCTGGCTGTGTTCTTGATGCCTTGCCCAGCACTGTTCAACTTTTCCTTGGCTGTGTCCAGGTTCACATTCTCCCTGATGCCATCCACGAGCTCTCCAGCCTGCAAAGTTAATAGTAGGATGTTGGTCACACCCACCAATTTCTGGGCGAATCTTACCTTATTTCTGGCCCTTCCCAGCGGTGTCTTTGATGCCTTGTCCAGCATCATTTAGCTTTTGCTTAGCTGCATCGACGTACTCATTGTTAGCAATGTCGTCAGCGAGCTCTCCAGCCTGCAGAGGGAGGAGTTAAGGTAGCTATTTTAAGGAGTTTAGGGTTTACCTTGATAGGTTTAGTTTTTTGGATGGTCTAGGGGGACTTACCTTGTCTCTGGCGCTTTCGGCCGTTTCCTTAATGCCTCTTCCAGCATCGCTCAACTTTTGTTTGACAGCTTCTTGATTTTCTTCGCTGGTAACTCGGTCCTTGATCTCTATGGCCTAAAAATCACGAGTGAGGGTGCTAATTTTGCAGTCTAGATCGAGGGAGTGGGTAGACCGCGGCTCACCTTATTGCCGGCCATTTCTGCAACGGTTTTGATCGCATGTCCAGCCTCGCTCAATTTTTGCTTGTAGTATTCCATGTACTCGTCAGTGGTATATTCATCCTTGATTTCTGCGGCCTAAAAACTTCAGGATTAAACAGTGTACGGTATTGTGGGTGTACGGTGGCGTCGGATGTCGATCGCCCTAACCTTATCTACGGCTTTTCCAGCTACATCTTTCGCTAATTCTGAGGCCTCACTCAACTTCTCCTTGTAATACTCCATGTATTCTTCAGTGGTGTAATGGTCCTTGATCTCCATGGCCTATAAAAATGTAAATAGAGGGTCGTATTCATCGGAAGGGGCGAGGAAATAGTCCCAGTGAAGTTCAGGAGAACTAATGCGCTCACCTTTCTGCCGGCCATGGCTGCAGCGGCGCTTAAGAGCACTCACGGCCTGAGCCAACTTCTCCTTAGCGTACTCTTTGTTTTCCTCAGTCATAACGTCGTCCTTGATCTCTACGGCCTTAAAAAGTTATGGTTAGGGAGGTTCTGGCGCTACAAAGGTCCTAGCGCTATTGCCCTGAAGAACTCGGACTAAGCCAGTTTTGCGAACTCGGACTAAGCCAGTTCTGCTGCACCTAAAGAAGAAGAAAACCCACCATATTGCCGGCGGCTCCTGCGGCGTCTCTGAGAGTACTGCCAGCCGTTCCTGCGGCATATCCTGCAGCGTCCTTAATAGCACCTCCGGCATTCATCAGCTTTTCCTTAGCCATATCGGTGTATCCGCTGTTGGCAACGTCATCCTTGATTTCTTCGGCCTGAACCACTCCTTAGAATAAGCTGGTAGAAAGAAAGGCCTACACGCCCTTACCTTATCTCTAGCATTTCCGGCCGTGTTCTTGATCTTTCTTCCTGCCTCATCCAACTTTTCTTTGCCCTGCTCTTTTAGGTCTTCAGCCTATAAACATCATACGTTACA